CATACAAAATACTGATCAGAAAGTATAAAATGGCCCTCCCTATTCAATTATATTTAATGATATGTAAAGAATATTTATGATATTTATGTAAACCTTTACTTATGTAACATTGTACGTATTTAACACTGAGAGACTAGTTTCCATAGAAGCAGAAGGATATGGATATATATGTTTATGTATATTTACACGGCGGATCAACAGTGGGTAGGTATACATATATTTAAATATTAAAGAAATGGTGCACCTTCCTTCACTCAAAATCCAAGTATCCCCTTCAAGGGTATACAAATAACTCGTTGGCCCCAAATAATGACCCCTGAATGAAGCACAGCTGGACAGCTGGTATTGGGCTGTGGGTGGCTGTGGGTGGCTGTGGGGGCTATGGGGCTGTGGAGTGGCAAGTCGAAAGCGTAAGGTGCAAAAAAGGTACAAAAGATCTGTCTCTTGGCCCAACAGTTCTCTGCAAAATTATGAATTGTTTGTCGAGCAGGTGGTGTCAGGTGCTTACCTTGTGCATCTACCCGTAATCACTTGGGTAATCGCTCAAATGCACACACAAAATCATGTTGAAATTTGCTCGCCGCGCTTTCTCTTTCTCTCTCGTCGCTCTCGTCTCTCTCTCGCCTTCGCTTGCCTACTTTCCAGTCACCAGGCACCTCGACTGCCGTCGAGTGTCATCTCCATCATGGCGAGTGTCTTGCTTGGCTGCCAAGAAGAGGGGCAGATGGAAAGAGACGGACAGTGGAGGAAGGAGAGGGTGAAGAGTGTAATGTGCGCTTGAGGTGTGTGTGTGACCTTGGGTCGGGGAATGAAGGTGGAACGAAATTAACTCTTAATGGATTTCATAATAAGCTCTTTCTGGGGTTACTATTTCTGTTTTATGGGCAAATCTATTAACTACAGTAAAGACTCGTTCTGATGTGACATCTGCCCAAAGGAAAGGTCAACTAATTGAGTCCCTTTAAAGCCCTTTCCAGCATTCTAGTATCAAAACTACATTCCTTACGCTCCTCTATGTACATATTTACTCTACATACTGTACACAATATTCCCCATATATACATGTATGTACCTTACATAGATTGCGATCAAAAAACTTTGTCCGTACCAGAGAGAGATAGAGAGAGAGACGGAGGGAGAGCTACTTTTCCTTAAATTTCTTTTCCTTATGTTTTCTTCCCTCCACCTTTTTTTTTCGTTCCACTTTTTTTGTTCCACTTTTCATGGCTTTTCTTACCGGCTTTCGCTTTGTTTTACGCCACAAAGCACCTCTTCAACTTTTCCCCTTTTGGCTTTATAACTCACTCAAGTTTCCTTCCAGCCATAAACTTCCTTTATCCACCCACCCATCCATTCAATTTGCCTACCCCTACAATAGTCCAGAGTCCTGCCACTCAGTTTGCAGCATTAAGTCGAGTGGAACTGTTGATTTCCCTCTTTTAATTCCGCTCTCACCTTAACGTAGTCAGAATACATCCGGGGGGGCACCCCCCACCCCACTTAAATCCATGACTGGGAACATTTATCCTTAACAATATTCTCCTTGGTTCCACCTCCATTTACCCTCCATGTCGCATCCCCAACAAGAACAGAAACAGAAGCAGAAACAGAAACAAGAAAAGAAAAAAGAAAAACTGTGACTTTTGCTAACAGATTTCATGACGCCTCAAAGTTTCATAGAGTTCCGCCCATAAATTATCATTTGGCAGATTCCGAAAGCAACAACAGCCACGCCCCTACTTAAACGCCTTCAGGACACTAAAAGTCATGGCCTGCCGGATGATTCTTTCGATGTAAGGGAGGATGTGTGTGTGGTGGCTGTTGCTGCTGCTGCATCGCATTATATGCCGCACATTTGCCGCAAGTCGTTTTCTTATCAGTTCTTCCTGCGGCTTCCGACTCAGCCACGCAACCCCACTACCAGCTTCTTTTTGGCCAAATGGAAGTGCCATCTGAGGGCTAACATGGAGCTAAGTTTGGAGCCTTTGCAACCATAATGACGTTTACCAAGACCGAAAACTGACTCAGAGACTGAGACTGAGACTGAAGCCGACACGTTCTTTGGCCCCTTATCATCGTTTATTGTGTTGCTACATATTTTATTTTTCGGGCTACTTTTGCCAGGCAAAAGGCGCAACAACTTTCGCCAGTGCCTGTGCTCGTTATTATCCTATTAGGATGTGACAGCGCCACACCAGCACAGCAAAAGTTTTCATTCACACAAACACACACACACACACACAAACACAGAGAAAGAGAGAGAGAGACAAATACTCTGTCTGGCTGTGACCCACATGTCGTATACATAACGCGCTTTATATATGTACATACTTTTCGCCTTTGAGTCAAAGCCAGCTCAAAGACATTACAAGCTCGTTAAAGTGAAATCAATGTTGTTTTTGTTTTGGCCGTTCGTCCGTTCGTCCGTCCGTCTGGCCTGTCCAGTTTATTTAGCTATATATTTTTATTTCATTATACGGATTTTGCCTGCCTCTTTGCTGTTATCTGTTGGCTGCTCCGTTTATGGTACAGCAACTTTCCGGCTAACTGGCCATGAAAACTGTCCAAGATGTAAGCGGCAGAAAGAAACAGAAGAAGCTGGGTAGCAGGGATGAGGAAATAAAGTTAAGTAAAATATACTCATTGTAAGACAATACTCGCACTCGCACTGAAAAGGCGTCAAGATAGGGGGAAAGGGGAACAAGTATTGCATTACATTTTCTTTTTCGTTCTGCTTACCAAAGTAATGGACATTGGGGTCATTCCGTTCGAAATAGGGGATTTTCTTGAGGTTAAGGAAGCAATTTCTACGATTCAAATAAAGGTTAAAGAAAGATCGAAATTTCAGTCAAAATTCTGTTACAACAATTAGAAATAATATTAAGAATCAATTATTTAAATTCTAATTTTATTAAAGACAAATTACTTTTACTGGGATACTATTATTTTTACTATTACTGGGATAGATATGTAGTCTCAAGCCATTTTGAGGATAGATTACACCGAGAATATGGCAGAATTAAATAACGACAATGATCACAGTCACGTGAAGATAAACCAAGACTCGCCTACGTATCAGAAGCATTTTTGCAATCTTTTCAGGAACACAAATCAATCGGTAAAGTAATTCAAATAATCCCCACATAAGCAGAGGATCGCTCACATTTCGGTTTATCAAAAATCGGTTCGAAAAACAATGCAATTTCAGGGAATCGTAAACCGCCTTCCATGACTCTTAATTTGATCTGTTAATATGTAAATCCGAGTATTGCAACAGTACGCCTCGAAATTCCCTTGACATTGTTACAAGAAGAATAAATAAACCTACGAATCCGATTCCGAATTCGAGACAGAGATTACTCATTCTCTTGCCGCTCCATCGGTGGCAATTAGTCACCTGAGAGCGCGCGCGCACTTGTGGCCCGATCAGCAACACGGAATAAATCCATATTGCATCTCTGCGCATACAAATGTAAATACATTTTTTGTTAATTTTTTGCATGTTTTTTGTTGCATTTTGCATTTTACATTAATCCGTGCTGCTGCTGCTGCTGCTTCTGCTGCTGCTGATGATGTGGGCGTGGGAGAGGGTGTTGTCATGGGATTGTTGAGATTTGCATTTCGCACACGCCTTGGCCTGGAAATGCGGAATGGAGGCAACGATCTTTTACAGTTGCCATCTTCCCTTCTGTTTCAGTTTGTGTGTTGTGTGTTCTCTTTCCCCGCAATTAATATGCGTGTGCCAGTGTGCAACAGTGATCGATCGTTGGTGCAGCGCGATGATGCACGTGTCGCGTGCGTGCGAGCGTGCGAGCATGATGCAGTCTCAGGCAGGCAGGCAGGCACTCATCCGAAATCCGAAATTCCAGCTGCCCTTCCTGTCTCTCTTCTCTCTTCTCTTTTATACTTTTTGTGTGTTTGTGCAAATTTACGACCTGTTGGAAATGAATTTGTTTGCCGCCGTCGCTTTAGCGGCCGCCTGATATCGATCTAAGCTTTTAAGCTCTTTTGTTCAGAGCGGACCGGGAGAGAGAAACCACAACAGATGCCGGCTAGCTAACCGGCAAAAACCGGTGAGAGAAGAGAGTGCAGCTAAAAACAAGAAAGGAAGAACTGCTTTCGGGTGACGAAGCTTTTGATACCCTAACAGGCAGGCTGAGGTTGGGATTACCAAAAGAAACTGAAAAGACTTTTCTCACTAAGAATTGTTCTTGGACCGTTTCGCTATACATATGTATGTATGAGAGTCTTAAACTGCCTCTAAGCAAGAAGAGATATTTGTTGGATATAATCGATTTAGATCTTAAGAGAGCTCATAGACACATAGACGAATCGACTTTTGATGCTGATCAAGGCATTGTCTCTCTTCTTTGAAAGTAGACCACATAAAATCATAGCACCCCATCCTCTCTCTAGGTTATGAAAATAGCAAAACTAAAGCGCTGCACTTGGAATGCGGGCCGGCCGCTGTGAGATCCCGCTGTGGAACAGAGCCGATCTTCGTTGCACAAAGCTATGAATGTATTGCTCTTACTCTCTGTCCCCGCCATTATGCTTTCACTCTGTCATGCTTGCGATATCTCTCTCTCTTTTTTGTCTCTTTTTCTCTCCTCAGTAGCGTATCATCGCGTCATCGCTCGAAGAGAGCTCCATTCGCATTCGCTACGCTCTTTGGCGCGATCGCAAGCTTTAAATGTGTGTGGCGCGAGCTTGGAGGCTCAGTCTTTTTTGGGCTTTCAACGCGTGAGGAGCTTTGCCAGCACCGCAGCAGCAGCACTAGCACTAGCAGCACCGCACCGTAACAATTGCCGCCAATCAATTAAGTTCCGTTTAGTGATGCAAACACCGAAACTACTCGTACTCGTATGCTATAATAGAAGCTAAAATAGTTAAACTTAAACAATCTCGAAAGGCGCTACACAAGAAACAAACAAACGAATCAAAAAAAAAAGGTTAAAATAAAGTGAAGTGGAGAAAAGTAAAAATCAAGTGAAAAAAATAAAACAAAAGCAACAAACAACAACAACAAAAAGCATGTGAACAACAAAAACAGCACAGTTTAATGCTCGAAAAAGAATTTACGTGGCAGGTGTGTACGAGGGAGCAGAGACCACAGAGCAGAGCAGAGCAGAGCAGAGCAGAGCATATACATAGCTCCAGAGCCAGAGAGCAGTAGTGGAATTCCACAGAGAGATTGTCTATATATTATATGGGTATGAAAACCGAACCGAAATCATTTTTCAAGTGTTGCAGGGCTTCGTTTTGCTTTTTGCTGCCGCCTCTGCCGTCTCCACGGTCTCCATTATTCGCTCTCTTTGTTGTTTGCCCGATTATATAAGCCGCAGCATAAAAAAGTAGAAGGGTAATGTCGGTAGCGTAGCGTTGCTAGCGTTGTTTGTTGGCCCATACCCAGGCAGCAGGCCAGGCAGGCCAGGCAGGCCAGGCAGGCACCGAGGCACCCAATATGGCTATACAAACAAAACCTACACACTGAAAGGCACAGCAGAGCACAGCACAGCACAGTGGGACATACAGACGACTCTCTACTGTCGACTGTCGAGTCCGTCCGTCCGTCCGCGTACATAGATAAGATAGCATAGCTAATAATATAACAAGAGGAAAAACTGTACGGCATAACGTCATTTATAAAATATTTATGGATTTTTTTCGTGTGTGCCGCCCCGTTGCCTGTATTTTTTGCTCATTTTCAATTCAATTTTCATTCAACAAGGTTTCCAGATGCTGTGCGCTGCTTTGACTTTATATTTAAACATTATTCACAGGCATTTGCTAAATAATAAACAAATTATAAATAGGTAACTTAATAAAAAGGCAAACAGCAGAAAAAAACGCACACAAGATAAATAGAGAGACAAATAGTCAAAACAGACAGACAGTTAGACAGACGGACAGTCGTACGGACAGTTTGAAAGCTTTTTGTACCCACTACACTCGTATGCTTTATGTATCTTTGTATCTGTCCCACTCGATCCGATCCGATCCGATCGGTTGGCTGGCTCTCCTCTCCCTTGGCTGCGTCTCGTCTGCTCTCCCCTCCTCTTCTCTTCGTCTCTCGCCTCGCTTTTTGGCATGTATTTTGTTTACACTGCCACAAATCAAGGTTAAAAGCGTCAAGCGCGCAAATGGACAGAAATTAGGCGCATAGGTGGAAGTGAATTTATCGCAATGATCGAACAATTTGATTTCATTAGCCATTTGTGTCGGTGCCTCGGTGTCGGTGTCGCTGTCGGTTGAGGTTGCTGTTTGTTTCTCTCTGTGCGTTTGCGACCCCCCTTTACAGATTCCCGTTCCCCCTCGTCGCACACGCACGCACGCACCGTGGAAGACTTATTACTTGGTAGCTTACCCACACAGACCTGGAGTAGGGGGGCAAGGGCAAGCTTTAAAGTTATACCCCAAAATGCCGAGAAATATGAAACCAGAGCAAGTAAATAAAATACGAGAAAGCTTATGGGGAGGGGGGAAAGGAATGGTGTCGAAGTTTATATACTCTGGGGAAACGTGCTAATGGATAAGGGCTACACTGGACGACTCGCATTGGGTATGAAAGGATTCTGTGAACGATGCAAAAAAAAACTCCATCCATTGATATAAATAGATGCTCGATTTTCTTAGTATTTATTATACATAAATCATATGTTAAACTCATAACTGGAAAATGCAAAATTGATTTTTTGAAGATAAAAAAATTCAATTCGTGAGAACTTATGCGTTTCAAGTCCTATCTACGGCACTTCTCTTTGTTGGATTTCCCTTATATAATTGATATTCATAACTTCACATTTAGCATTGAAAAGAATCTCTTGAGCTGATGTTTACTTAGCACTGAGGAAGGATAAGTTTTCTTTTTGGCTATGAATATCTCGTAACTCCCAACAAGAGCCACTCGTCGTAGTTGAAGATCTTCCGCTATCAGTATGTAAAGCATCTTCTCTCCCACCGCACATAACCTTATAACCAACCGCTCGAGTACTCAAAGAAAAAGTTGTATAAGCCATTTATGCATGCCATTGTCAAAGCCACAAAATAAAAACCTAGATGAAAGTTTAGCAGGTGATTGGCCATGCCGCAACCGCAACCTTTCATCCCGCTCAACTCTAGAAAACTTTGCAGAGTCTCCTTCCACGTAGAAAAGTAAAAAAAAGAAAGGGTAGGGTATATCTCGTACATATGAAAAGCGAGAAGCGCACGGGCAGGGCAATCAGAGGTCAGAGCGAGGCAAAGTAACCAAAAGACGAGACGAGACGAAACGACGACTCCGACAGACGCCAGACTCTATGCTTTTGGTCCGAAATACGACTCCGAACTGCAATGTGTGGAAAAGAGATGGGGAGGCAACAGCCAAGAAAGAGAGCAATGGAAAGAGCAAAGCTTCGGCCAAAGCCTCTCTTTTGACTTCAACCCCCACCGGCGCCCCTCCGCCAACAATATACCCTTTGTAATCATCGTCTTCATCTCTTTCGACCACCTCTCTGAGCCACCTTCCGCTCTTACTTTGCGCCCCCCATTCAGTACCATTCAAATCTCCTTTTTCTTCCCCCCCCCAACACTCGACCATTCGCAGTACCCTTTAACTCTACCATCCTCTTGCCTTTCCAACACCCCCTTCATCCATTCTCTTTCGGCCATTCAGTACCTTTCAGCTCTCCCCTTCACTCTCTGCTCCAGTAGCTGCTGTTAACTCCTATACTCCCCATTCTCTTCCGCTCTCCACCGACAAGCAGTACCTTTCAAGTGCGGGCTGCTGCTGGCTTTGGCTTTGGCATCGGCTTCAGCTTCAGCTTCTGCTGGCTCATCAAAAAAGCCAAAAGTTGTTGAACGTGAAATTATTGTACGCGAACACGAGTAAATAGCAGCAGAGCAGGCAGCCAGGCAGCCCCACATGAGACTGTATCGTATCTGTGTGTTCCAGTCCGCGTGTGTGTGTGTGTGTGTGTGTGCCTGCATAAGTATTTATGCACACACAGGCAGACATGAAGCGACTTTTGACTGGAAGGTTTTGTTTTTTGTTATTTTTATTTTTTGCAAGATAAATAGCAACAACACGAAAAGAAAACGGCAAAAAGCCGATGCTAGCGGCTAGCTCTGACGCCGACTCTGACGTTGACGCTGACGTCGCGACGTGTCGATGGCAAAGCAGAGCATAGCAAAGATGCATCAGATTTCGCATTCAAGTGAAATTGATGGCAATCATAAAGCTTAACTTGCTTTCGAGGTAAAATATGATGAACAGCAACAGCAACAGCAAAAACAACAGTAATGGCTACTACGTGAAGGGGAAGGAAAAATAAGAATAAACTGAAAATTAAACTGTATAAAAAGGAGTAGAACACGCAGCAGAAACACCAGAGCGGAATCGTTAGAGTAAGCATGAGAGAGAGAGAGAGAGAGAGCATAAGAAGAAGCAGTTTTAAAAGCAGTAGAAGCATCATCAGTATCAAAGCAGTGGAAGCTACGGTTAAAGCTGCAGCGGAAGCAAAACAAGAATTAATAGACGCAGCAGCAAATGCAGAACATGCCTCAATATAAACATAAGAAGCAAACTGATAGGCATTCCCCGGTTCTTCGATACACATTGAGTAAAAGCTAGCAGCAACAAGTAATAGCCGTCGCTTCGGCAGAATAAATGGCAGCATAAGCAGTAGAAGCAGTGGAAACAACGAGAAATTCTGCAGCAGAAATCAGAAAGCATTGTCGTTAAGCAGTGGAGTGGAATCAGAGGAGGGGAAAACGCTGCAGCCATGGCAGAGGCGTCAGCAGAATAAACTTACAGTTAACTTTTGGCATACGTCAGCATTTCATAGTTCAGTTGACGCACCCACCGCTCCCGCTCTCCTTCGCACCACAGAGAGCAGCAGTTATCGCTGCCAAGCCATTGCCCCACCACCCACTCCGCGTAGAAGCAGTAACACCCCCGCCACCGCACAGGTCTCTGATTCGATCGCGCGACGTAGACAAGAAAAGCGCTGCCTCAGCGCATGGCTTTCTCGCTGGTTGCGCTGGTTGCGCTGGTTGCTGCTATCAACAGATTAGTCATCTACACAAATATGCGATTACCACACACACACACACACATATAGAGAGAGAGAGAGAGAGAAGAAGAAGCACACAGATATACTGATATATTCTAGAGATATATGTACAAAGATACATAAGGGGTAAAAGAATGCCCCAAAGGTACATTCCCCCTCAGTGTGCACCTGGAACAAATAAAGACTTTTGATCAAATATGTACTTTAGATAGTTATAGATAGATAGATACATAGATGGATAGATAGAAATCTAACCCTATACTGTAGTTACATACATAAGATGCACTCAACTGACTGAAAGTCAGAAGTGAAAACGAGTGAAAACAATGGGCCAAAGCGGGAGAGGGAGAGATGTCAAAGCAGGAAGATGAGAGAAATCGGATAAGATCTGTACTTGAGAGAACTTTCGCTGGATGCATCTACGCTTGTGCACACTTACGTTTTCTATGTATCTTTCCATTTTTCCCTAAAGCGAAAGTGTGGCATGGACAGAGAAGGGAAGAGGTGTTAAAACAGGAAGCACAGATTACTGCATGTTAGCCTCAGATATCTATTAAATGCACTCAGCAAAAGTTCTAGATAGAAAGCTGCAATGGCTGAATGAAGCATCAACAGAATAGGAGAGCGAAAACATCGAGTGTAACAGAGGAAGCTGAAGTCTTACGATAAGATAAGATCTGATATCTGATAGATACAAGATCTTAGATAAATACACATTTTTAGTCTATCATTCACAGATCCAACCAGAGAATACTTTAGAAATATTTTGGTTGGTCTTTTGTGCAGTGGAACCAATGAAAGAACGAGTTAAATGTATATGTGGCTCTGCTATTTCGCGATGTCCATTATGTAGCTGATGATGAACTCTTTGCAGAGTGTGTACTTTATGTGTTACTGAACCTGTGTGACCAGCAGGTACCTAGCTATGTGGGGGGAGAATATTTGTAGTCCAATTCCCAGAAATTTCCATGAGCCGTAGCTCTATTTACAGAGTCTCGTCTCTAGGCGAGCAGAGATATGCAGAATGCAAGACTCTCACTCTCGGGTTTATTGGTTGTGTGACAACAAACAAAAGAAGCTCCAGTAATTAAAGCGGAGTTCCAGGAACTCATCTACGTAATCTGAGATAAGATACGACAGAACAGAACAGAACAGACCTGAACCAAACAGATACTGCAATTTAAGCCAAGCCAAGACACACACAACCAAAACCCAAATGCCAAACTCAATTTAAAGAGCGAGCGCCAGAGAGAAGCAGCCGTGGTAAATGGAAATCTCTTGTCCTGTCCAGGGACTCTATCATCAGTCTCTGGTCTGGACCATAAATCTCCGTACACTCTCCGCCTGCCCCGCAGCTCCTATTCTGCCCGCAAAATGAGAGCAGACGGATACGTTTAGAATTTGATTGAATGAATGTGAAAAGCAAATCATCGTCCGGCATTCAATGCCAATGCTCTGTAGCACACACGCAAAATTTGTTCGATTCGGTGAGATGAGGCTTTACCTGTGGAACCCCATGAAAGTCCCTCCTCCACTCATGCCTCCTCCTGCCTCCTGCCTCATGCCTCCTGCCTCATGCTTGATGTGTGTTGTTTTGGCTTTATCAGTCGTTCGCTCGTTTTTGTTGTTGTTAGATCTCTCTCTGTCTCTCTGGGTTTTCGGTGCACAAACATTTTTCAGTTGCGGCCTTTTGCTCTCTCTCTCCCTCTCACTCTCACTCTCACTCTCTCTGTCTTTTGTGTGTGTGTTGCCGGGGAAATGGGTGACCCCGAGACCCTCGTCGTGCCGTACTACCCCTCGGACGGACGTACTGGCAGGCAGTTGGTCATTAAAACTACGCGCAGAGTCGCAAAAAAAAAAAAGGTTTCTATTTTTAGCAGTGATACAACAGAAACCCCCAAAACAAAACCAAAAACCAGAGCCAAAGCCAAAGCCAGAGAGAACTTTTGCTCAATCAAATCGAATCGAAACGAAACGTTTTTCGGGGGGGGGCAGGCAGGCAGGCAGGCACCTTTCGTTTACTCTTATTAACGCCTTCCCCTCCTACCACAATCACCTACTACTGCTTTTGGCTTCTATCTGTAGCTGTATCTGCTCTGAATGCAGTATATATTTCAGCATATATATATACATATGTACACGTAATAAATTCTCATCGTCTACCATTTCTTTCTCCTTTTTTTTTGCAGTTGATTTCGTCGCAGTTGAGATGCCAATTGATTTTGATTTTTGCAAATTTTAACAAGACATTTATATGATTTGATATCTCGACGAAAGGAGGAATTCGCATACAAATTACACCAGAGCAGAAAATTTTGTGCTGAAATTCAGTGGACCGCCACCGCACTGGTCCGCACGGGGACGGGGCAAGGTCATATCGATTGTCAGCAGCTGCTGTCATTGCCACACACACACACACACACACAGACTACACACCAGTCGCTCAGCATGGCTAGCCTGCTGCACAAGCCAGGGAGGTGCTTGCACCATATGCTTATAATATATGGACTAATATTTGTATCCAGTGCAACGACACGTAAGTAGAAGACACATCTGACTCCCACTCTCATTCGCACTCCCATTCGCACTGCCATACCCACTCCATGCATCTCTGAATCTGCTCCAATGTTTACCCATGAGTTATTAAGTGCCGAGCAGAGAGAACATATTAATTTTAATTTATACTCGCAATGTGTATTTATTTATCGCACTTGTCATTGGCCGATGTCATAGCCTGTCTTGGCTATTTGTTTATGACCTTATCAAATTGTATGAGTATCATCAGGTAGTACAGCATCCCCTCCACAATGCAGAATAATAGGACATTGTTCAGCTTAAACAGGCCACAGGCGCTAACCGCAAATATGTGCTCGGCATTCTTCAGGTACAGTCCGTAGTAGTGAAGCTGCAGGAATGATAAATCGTTTAATAATCACAAATATTCCCCTTACAGCAGCATCAAACGCTAAGAAAACTTTAAGGGTAATTTTAAGTTAATAGCCAATAGAAATGAACAGATATAAATCAGAGCATGCTTTAGGATCAGAGAAGCGAATCAATAAATGAATTTATCAAGCCTACGATGTCTCATGGTTCAGTTGCTTCATAAAGTTCACTGACTTTGCACAGATTTAACTCTCAGCTTAAGCTGAACAGGGAATTGGGCAGCCCTTTCCTTTGATTTACCCATGAAAAACTTACAGTTTGATTGAGCTGTTTGACTGTGCCAGCCGGTGGCAGGGCCAGCACACCACTCCTGAGGGTCTCCCGCGTGTGGGCGAAGCGACGGCTCATCCGATGGGTGAGGCATATGACCAGAACGAGATTGGCGACGAGGCCCATCGTGAAGAAAATGATGTGATAGTTCACGGGGAAGGGTCGCTGGTATTTTCGCAGAATGAATTTGCTGTAGTGCATGAAGTAGCTGAAGAACATGTGCACCATGCATTCCAAGGGCACCATACCCACAAAGCAAACGGCCTGGAGGCCGCTGAGCGAGCATATCGAACGGAAGAGGGCCAACAGCTGGTGGTGGACATGGAGCAGGCGCCAGAGCTCCAGGGCCAGCCACTTCTGTTGGCTGCGGCAGAGCTGTTGCCGCCACCTAATGATGCCGTAGCCAAAGGGGGGCTGTAGCGAGGCAGCATCCGCTAGGATCCTGGCCAGCAGCTCATTGGAATGATGCGCTAGGTGGTCGAGCAGCAACAGGGCCAGCACGTAGAGGCCCAGCGAGAGCCGCAGGATCAGGTTGCAGGCATAGATGAAGACCAGGCTGAAGGCGTACAGGAAATTGGCTTTAACCGCGGGGTCCCACGAGAGTATCTGGATGGTGTGCACCGGCGACAGGATGTACACCCCGATGAGCACTCCCACGATTAAAAGGTTGCCCCTCGTGGACAGGTGGTCGATGGACTGGCGCAGCTCTGGGGTGTGCATCAGACGCTTCAACTGGCGCCGACACCGGAGCAACTGATTCAGACACCCGACGATCTCCTCCTGCTTCGTGGTGTGGATGTAGAGCGTGGCAAAGGTGCAGACCAGCACCAGGACATAGCGATTGAAGCCAACCAGCAGCAGCAGGCGGTTCTGGCGCAGAAAGGCCATCCGATGGTAGACCGAAGCGAAGGCAAAGGGCGAGAAGCAGCCCACAAAAATGAGCATCACATAGCCATGGATGCGCCAGTACAGAGACTGCCGCACCCTCTGCCCTCTGCGCGGCGTGGAGGCAGCCATCAGGCCAAATAACTTGGTCAGTCCGTAGAACAGAAGTAGCGCTGCTATGGCCACTCTTTGCACCCAGTGAAATGTCCAACCCGACAGCGACAACGACGAGGACGAGGACGACATATCGTTATGAATGCAACTGGCATTCTGTGTGGTGTGGCACGGCACAGAGGCGAGGACACATAATCGAATCAAAGCCAACGGCAAAGGCAAAGGCAATGGCGCATTGGCGCATTCGAGCATTCGGGCATTGGACCATTGGTTACGCCAGCTATTAGCCTGATTGAATTTCATTTAGCCAAGCCGTTCACTCAGCCAGATATAATCTCTGGCTCTCTGTCTCTGGCCAGATATAACACACACATCACATTGACTGAGCAGACAGACACCGCCCACAACAAAAGGGTTTCATGACTACGATGGATGTGGATGGATGGCATGCACTGAGGAAATGTTTGACACACTTTTGTTGAAGGGAAAAATCGGGATAATAAAGTACAGTTCTGAGTCTACATAACTCTTATACAACTCTTATACCAGGCACGCATTCGAGCACTAAGTTTCCCATAAACAAATGGCTTGCATGGATTTCGAATGATACGAAAGGAACAGACCATTCGCGACGAGTTTCTTGTCTATTCTGTAGGTATGCATTTTTTCCAGTGTCGGAAACACTAGAGATAGACATAAGCAAATTACATTCTAGTTGGATATTGTATCTGTTGGATACTTCAATTAAAATTAGTTGAAATCAGAGAGCTTATGGTCTGTGGCTTACCCTCGACACACTCCGTGTGTCGCTCATCCAAATCAGGCAATTTCCAAGTGGCTTTGCCCCATTTCTCACCTGTGAATGGGTGAAATGTGAGAGGGGGTTAAGATGGATACAATCTGGGATTCCAATCAATGTCGAATCGAGCGAGCGAGAGAGTGGGGGGCGGATAGGGGGGATAAACTAACAATTTAAATTCCTGACACAGTTCCTATCGGTGTGCTGCTGTTGCTGCTGTTCCGGCGAGTGATTTCTGTGGCTCTGAGTATTTCTGTATTTGAGTATTCGTATCTTTTTCGAGCATCTGCATCTGTATCTGTATCTGTAGCAGCGGCAGCGGCAGGAGAGAGAATAAAAATCGTTGTACCTCGTTGTCGTTGGATTATTAAAAAAGTTTTTCGCTTTTTAAAGAGTTTTATCTCTCGCCCCCACACACCCCTTTCCCCCTTTCCCTTGATGTTTTTCATTCATGCTGCTGCTGTTGCTGCTGCCGCTACAAACACACACATAAAATGCAAAACACTCGAGTGCCTATATGCGTATGGCGGTGTGTGTACTTTCAGCCTTTATGAAAACTTTTCACGGGGCTGTTTATAAGTTTCTCACCATCCAGCCAGTCAGCCAGCCAGCTAGGCAGCAGCAGCAGAAGAAGAAATATCCCCCATGTATCCTACCGAGTATCCTCGGTTCAAGTTTTGTATGCGCTTTTGTCCTCTTCCTGTTATTGCCGCAACGCCACCACTCTAGCACTTTTGTATCTGACGGGTTGCTGCTGTTGCTGTTGCTGTTGCTGTTGCCGCTGCATCTCCATCTCGGGGCTGTGTCTCTATCTCTGGGTTGTGTGCCTGTGCCTGTGCCTGGGCCTCCAGTTCTAGTTTTGGTACTGGTTTCAGTTCTGGTTCTGGTTCTGGCTTTATCTGAATAGGCAGCCAAGTGTGCGGTTTGGTTTTTATCTAGGTTAGGTGGCTGCTGCTACTCCAGTCCCCCATTTGCCCCCTCTTCGCGTCACCGAATGCATTGCCCTGTCCACCGCCTGACGGCTAATTCATTCACATTTTTTCGTGTTTTGTGTACTCTATAGAAGCCCCCCCAACAACCATGGAAGGGTATGTACACTTTTGCAAGCCAGTTTGCCCTGAAGGCTGTTAAGGAGTGTGTGCTCTGGTATTCTGGTGCAGGAAGATGCAGTTTTCAGGCGTTTCTTTGCACTCAAATGTTGCCGATTCTGGCCAAATGAAAGTGGTAAACTTCAATCAGGGATATTTCATGATTAGTTACAGCATAAGATGGTCCAGATGGTAGTCCGCTTAGGGATCTGCTCTACAATCGAAACCTGAATGTCATTCAGGTGCCAGTGAAACAGAAAAAGAGTGTACACTTCGTCTGTACTAATCACTAAGAATGTATGGAGGCATCGGCCTCACAAAATCAAGTTGAGCAGCATTTAAATTGTTTGCATTTTTGTTTATTTTTTGGGGCATTTCGGGGGCATGTCTCGTTTAAGTCTAACCTCCCGTTGGCGTTGGCGATGCCGTTGCCGTTGCCGTTGCCATTTCCTAAACTTCAAAGTCAGATTGCGCACTCAATACGACAGCGAGTGGAGTGACCCTCCGACCCCGACCCCGACCCCGGCTCCGACTCAGACTCAGACTCCCACTCCAACAACTGTCCCAGCTGTCCCGCTGATAACACGACAGCGAAAGAGCGAAAAAGCGAATGTCAACGGAACACAAGACAAACTTTAATTAAATAAAGTGTAAGAAGTTTTCGTGGGAGCTGCTCCTTCAAAGCAGCCGTCAGTTGGAGTCCACGGAACCACCAATCCCCACCAATTTCCCCACCAATTTCCCCACCAATTTCCCCACCAAACAACATTCTGTGGCATCAGCCGAGACATCAAAGTGCAGGTCAAAAAATTCAGATGAAAAACCCCAAGCCCAAAACCCAAAACCAAAGCGAAGGAAAGAATAAAAAACTAAAGTTTTTAATATTCGACAGAGAAGTTGCCTGTGCTTAAATTAAGTCGATTTTTTCAAGCAGATATTTACTTTGTCCTTACTGGTGGCCTGACTGCCGAACCCGTGAACCCCACCGATACCCCGAACCCCAAACCCCTGAACTCTCTCGATTGTTTGTCCGCTTCGAAAACAAACGATAATAAAAAAAGGAAAAAGCAAAGGAAATGGTGGAACAAAAAAGTCAAAGGAGGAAAATTTCCCATTATATGGGCGAGTGAAAATGACAAATTAACTCGAACAATGGAAACCCTCTACTCGACTACCGTACGACAGGAAAAAGTATAAGCTGTGGTACAGAAAAGTTTCGAAAATTCAATAGAAATGGTCGTACAGGAGCAGGGAGAAAGGGGTGTCAGGTACAGGTACAGGTACACAATACGCGTAGTGCTCGTCGAATAAAATTAATGGAAAGACAAACACAAATACAAACACACAGTCAACAATCAATGGAAGGAAACTTTAATTGGTTTACTGCGGAGAGGGTCCACTGTTCGCCAATGAATCACTTACCTTAGATAACCAGGGGACCAGTCGTTCATCAGATAGGATTTGACCCTAATGCATTTGGTTCTGCTTTAGCAGGCGATTCTGTAAAACAGAAAAAGGGAGGTTTAATTACGTTAAAGATATGCGATAACTTATGGGTAGATATAGGAGTAAGAGAGAGATAAGTAAGAGATCCAAATTAAATATTAAATATTTACAATTTAAAAAGATTATTCAAAAAATTTGTTCTTTTACGCAACAAAACCTTCAACAGAAGATATTTGAATAGATATTTCTATAGGTTTTATGTCTTTTAATCTGTACCAGAGTGCTCCAAGAGTATTGAATCTCTTTTAGACCACTTGTTTTGGTCCAAAGTCTGCCACAAAGTGAATAAGTTACTCATTAAAATTTAGTAGAAAATAAAGCATTTATTTTCATTATTGAAAATGTTTCTCAACAAAAATGGACTCGCACTTACTTATATGTTCTTGCTCTCTTTAAGTCCGCTCACACCAATCGATTTTCCCTTTTCAATTATATTCTCTTGTTGGAGCTCTTAGGGGGCGAGAAACCTTGCCCCTCTTGACATTCCTTCTAGCATTCCGTGCCCTCCCATTTAAGCCACCACTAAGACCTGCCTTCATCTTTTATTGACAAGCAAAACCACTAACGAGTCTCCCGCCCACATCTCTCATATTTCATTACAGTTGACCTCCCCCCGTTGCCGGATTTGTGTGACTCAATTAAATGTCCGCCCGAGTCGGAGATGCAGTGCCCGGCGGATAGTTCTGTACGCGAGACACTAAATGCCGTGGTCCTCATCCCCAAAGGAGCAGGAGCAGTAGCAGAAGTTGGGGCCGCAGCGGCAGCCGTAAACGCTGTAACCGCAGCGGAGTCGCAAATGTCGTACAACATGAGCCTCATCCAGGACGAGGCCTACGCTCAGTGCTGTCTGTCGAAGAAGTGTGTGTGCCGGACGTGCTACATACCCGACTGCAACTCGGCTGAGGGGGAGGTGGTGGTGGAGGTGCTGCCAGAGGCGATGGACACGCCGGGCCAGTGCTGCGGGGAGTACCAGTGCCGGAAGGAGCCCAACTGCACGGAGGTGCGGGAGACGGACTTCTATTGGCTGCAGCAGTGCCAGCGCTGCCAGTGCACCTCGGGGGCGCGCATCTGTCGCCAGAGCTGCGACGAGGTCGAATCGAATGCCATTTGTGAGTCGAAGAACCTCAACGAGTACTTCAAGGACGGCGACACCTGGAAGGACGAGTGCCTCGAGTGCGAGTGCGTCCGTGGGGAGCAGAAGTGCACAATATCCTCCTGTGGGAATGTGGACTGCCCCAGTGAGCGGCATGTCTTCCTCAAGGACACCTGTTGTCCGGTGTGCTGGCCCGAGGGACATCCCATGCCACATGAAAAGCAAAAGTACGATGGGAATTCCGATTACAAGGAGGAGGATTCCACTGAGGAAATAGACCAGCCTCTTCCCCCACTCCTCCCCGAGACCACACAACGGACCACAAGTTCGGTTAGTGCGGAGCTTCTGGCCACCACCACAACGACAACGACAACAACAACATCAACAACAACCACAGCAGCTCCATCATCCACATCCACCTCCTCAGGGCAGCAGCAGCAGCAGCAGCAGCGGCAGCCGCCAGGTTGCCTGTGCTCGTACGAGCTGGAGCCCAAAATGGTGGAGGTTGTCAGCGATAATGATGACTTCTACTACTTGCTGGTGGCCTTCATTGCGGTGTGCTTCATCTGCCTGGCGCTCGTCTGTTACATTCTGCATTTGCGTGCCAAGAAACGTTCCTACGATCCGGTCTCCATTCTGGATCATAGCATCTAAACGAACAGAGAACTAAACTAAACTTAACTTTATTTTCGTGCCTACTTTTATTTGTTTGTGCGCTTTCGTTTGTTTATAAGGAGAGCACTTCTTTGGTCGGACATACTCTAATTTATTTCTTTGTCAAAAAAGGAATACCAAGTAGCCCCAGGGGCTATCCATCCGCTTGGGGGAGCATCGAATCGAACGATGAAGTGGAGTGGGAAACCCCTTTTCTTTGTTTATTTGGTATTGATCTCATTTTAAATTTTTCCCTTTTTTTATTTTCAAAATTTTGCAAACAAAAACAAAACAAACAAAAAAGCTGAAACGCAACGAAACTTCCGCAGTAACAAAAATCAAAAAAGTATTCTTATGAAATTAAAAACAAAAACAAAAAACAAAAACAAAAAAGAACGATAAATATTTAAACAAAGAAACAGAAACTACAACAACAAATATCAAGAGTTACTATTACTAAAAGAAAAAAAAAAAAAAACAAAACGAAAAGTAAATCTATAAAATTGTATATAGAAGTTATATATTAACTTTTTTTTTGGATCTAAGAGAACTATAATACCAAAACAGAGGAAGGACGATGGAAATATCAAAAGCGAAGAATAGTTTTTAGTTGTAGCTCTTAATTTAGGAAGTATGTGATATATATGCTAATTAGCTTATGGTTATATTTTGTCAACACACACACACACACACACAAGAAGAAAAGAAACAAGTATTTGCAACGTGCACACACACACACACACAAACACACAAACACACACACAGATTCCATCGCCCAGAGCACTGGGAGAGGGGTGCCCCCATCTTTAGCTAATGTCATAATGTTGCCACATAAATGTATACTACAAATATAAAGAAGAGAAACATTATTTAAATTTATGTTTTAAAGTGAAAATAAAACCCAAAATTGGTATGCAAAGCGAGGAAAACCAATTAAAAAATCGATTGTCTCCCCATTCATCGTTTGCTCAATTATGCTGCTGCAATTTGTTGCAAAGTTTTGCTGTTGCTGCTGCTGCTGCTGCTGCTGCTATTGTGTTTGTTGTTTGGGGTAAAAGTTGGAGTGGTGGGGACGAAAGTTTTTAGTCGTTTGTTAAATTTTAAATTTCTCAACTTATAATTAGACTTTGAGAAGGCTATTTATCGATGGAGCTGCAGTTCCTTGATGAAATCGATCAAGGAAATTGTTTTGAATTTTTTCTTTAGTTCTTTGTCATTTGATTTGTGGCATGCAGAATTCTAAAGAATTTTTATATCTACATTAGATGGCAGAAATACCTGGAAATCGGTTCAACTTTATAGCCAGAAAAAAAAAAAAATCAAATGAAGCGTGCCTGTTGTTTTGGCTATTTCGAACACTATTAATTCCACGCTATAAACTCGATATACTCCAAAAACCGTTTTATGTAACTTGATGGCTGCTTAAAGTATCATCAATAAATGCTGCGTTGCATATTTTTAGGCGCAGAAACAGGAATGCTCGAACCACCGTGGAATCAGGCAAGTTGTTTCCACATTTCAACCTTTTTGTGTAAACCCATACAAAAGCCAGCTATCTAATACCCATAGAACACTCATCTAAATCCCAACCCAACATTGTGATGCGGACTCAACCCAAAAGCTCTGTCATCGATATGATTGGCATCAGGCATTGGCATCACCCGACCAGAGCCACAACACACACAAAACTAATACCCATGAAAATACTCTCTGCGAGCAAAAAATCTCTGCCCAAAAAGTTTTGTATACAATTTTAAATACGACCTTCAAAAAAAGCAAACAATGGAGAAAAGAGAGAGAGAGACAGAGCGGTAGCTGGATGCAGGAGTATGGGTAAAAGGTCGTTCGTTCTTTTTGGCAAATTGTATGCTAAGCATAATGTCATGCCATGATATGATTTATAATATGTAATAAGTTCCAGGCAGCCAGCAGCCAGGCAGCAGCAGCAGCAGCCAAGGCACCCAAACATTGAAGTGGGTAGCATAAATAAATACATAAAGGTAGGGACACACAGAAAGAGAGAGAGAGAGAGAGAGAGCGGGGCAGAGAATGAAGAAAGAGCCTCTGAAAAATACGAATATGCATGGGAATTGGGCACCACTACACCCTCACCCTCACCCACCCAAGTTCCTGCTTTGTCGAACGAAATGGGAGCCCCGAACAATGTCATACATTTTGTTTAGATTGTTATCAAATGCTAAAATACCATGAATAAAGTAGTATATACGAGTATGTAAAAGGTATTGGTACATACTCGTATATATATGTATGTGGTAGTAGCAGGGGGGGGGCGTAGTATATTTATGTAGTTGAGTGGGTGGCATAGTGATTTACAGAGGCATACACCTAATAAAAATGCCACTTGAAGCAAAGAGCGGGCGTCGTGGGATTCCAATCGCTTCGATACCGACTCTGAAAGGCAAAGGCAAAGGCAAATAATGACACCCACACAACCAGATCCGTCCCTTCGTCCACCCGTCCACCCGTCCACCCGTCCATCTGTCCTCCTGGTACACGTGTAACCTCCTAACGACTGCAACCGTCAAACGTTTTGTATAAGGATAAGAGCCACAGGATGAGGAAGGCATAACAAAAAAAAAAAAAATACAAATCTACAACAAAGGCATAACACAATAGACTTCAAGAGTTTTGGATGACACTTTGAGTTATTTTGTTGTTGATGCTGTAAAAACACGCAAGAGAGACAGAGAGGGAGAGAGAGAGCCCGAAAGATATGCGATGGTAGATTTATTGGGAGGCAAAGCAAAAAGCAAGAAACAACGCAAACGAATAGTGAGAGAGAGAGAGAGAGAAAAAACTCGCTGCTAAAAAGCTTTGCCTTGCGATAAGGACAAGGACAAGCGCCCACTACACAGATTTCCTTTTGGTAGTAAAAGTGAGTATACAAAAAAACGGGAAAAACAGAAGCAAAAAGAAGTATTGGAGTAGTATAAAGTGAAGCGAAACAAAAACGAAAAGTATACTGTTGAAATTTATATCTTAGGCACAGTCCACCATTCAACACAGCAATCATCGGGTATGGCAGGCGGTAGGGAGAGCACATAACAGAGTATATACTCGTAGAAGTGCAGACCAGAACTGAATCGAGTGGAGAGTAGAAATAGTGAGGGAGAACTGAAATGGCATCCAAGCAATCAAATCCATCTTTCAAAAAGTGAATGGCTATTGCAAACATTGCACAAAAAGCCCAAAACAGAATGGAAAATACAGAGGGAGAGGCAGAGACAGAGGCAGGTGAAGGACTGGAAAAGAGATTGGCAAATGCTGACAATAAATAGGAGGACAGCACAGAAAGTTAAAACGGAACTAAAAGAATCTCTTTAAGGTCCAAAGGGCGATAGAAAAACTATCAGCCATCAACAATGGATATCCCAACAAAAGAAAGAAACTCTACCCTGATGCAACTACCGATTGGCAGCACTTGAAAGTTTTTTATTTGAAATGTGTACCTAGGAAATTTTAAAAGAATAAATAATTATACAGCTGTAAAAGGCAAACCAACAATAAGAATGCAAAATCAGAAATTATATCATTTCTCTTGCTTCTAAGTGTTTTCCTTACAATCTAGCATAATCACTTCAGATTGTTTTCTGTTTGTTTGTTTGTTAGTTTCATGATTGCTTTCTGGTTGCACCTTGGAAGAACTTTTAATAAGTTACTCCATTAAAAGAATTGTGCTGAATGGAGTAAAATGGAATACGGGCATCACTTAAATATCCAGTCAAGTAGGCAGCACTTTAATCTCTGTTCTGTGCTATGGGCAGCACTTCCACATCATATTCTATTCTATGGGTAACACTTGACGGTATTATGCAACATTCTGACATCAAAAGCTCCATTAAACATTCCAGCCAGGAAGCGGAAGCCACTTGATTTTGGTCATGCATATATCGAAATATATTTTAATGTAAATGCCATCAATCCAGCAGAGATCAGGGGTCGAGTCGAGTGGAGGCCATCTAATAGAAGAAGCTACGCCAATTGTCACATGACATAAATGCAGAATAATGATTTATCGAATAAGGCAATCAATAAAAAGACATCAAAGACGCCCCACACTCGGCTGCGTATCGTATTGATATCCACAAATGACTCTGAGCTATCATGAATCAATGTATATATGTATATCAATATATGCATCAATAAATGAACAGAGCTTATGTACAAAATGTGGCAACAAGAGGGAGACCTCAATCCATATATCAAAAGCACATTAGCTGAAATTTGAATTGCCAATTGCTTTACACATATACATACAATGTACATACATATATGTATATGATAAAGATATATATGTAGATACACGGATTGTGGGCTGTGTGTGCGGTAAAAGCGTACATACGGATGACAAAACCCCAAGCACATGTCAAAATTAAATAATGTACCGCACGATTGCTGACTCGTCCTGCATATTCCATGCCATCAGCCGCCCGTCCACCCGCCCGCACTGCCAACCAACCCGCAGGACTTGTAGACACGGCATTGGCATTGGCTTTTATTTGAATTTCGGTGCGTGCGGCTGTCACTTGTCTGTTACATTCGCCATGTAAACACAACCGCAGGCAATTTTGGCAATTTGCGTCAACAGGCGAAACACGGAACCAAAAACCAGCAGCCAGCAACCAGAAGCAGCAGCAGCAACAATAAAAAGAGAAACCCAACAATATTCCAACCCAATCCCAAACCAAACAAAACCGACAAAGAGGGGCAGAGAGAGGGTGCAGCCCGACAGCCAAGAGACAAACGTCTCGCCGCCTTGGCTTAAGCCGAGAGGTAAATATAAGCCATGGGGGCCTTCTGGGCCTAGACTCTGGTCTGGTCTGGGCGTCAGCAGCAGCAGAAAGCAGCCTGCTATGTAAAGTCGCTTGCACCCAAAAGAAAAGTGTTTGCTTTGCCACAGAGGAAGAGTGTAAGCCATTCGGATGGCAGGTGGAAGGTGGGAGGGGAAAGAACAAAAACATGGCACAAAAAATTACAAAATACTCAACAAACACACAGGATGGAGGAGATTGGAGCACACAGAATAAGCGACAATGGGAGAGAGGCTGTCAGCCATGGTTACCCTGTAATTGGTATCCACAAGTTTCCAAGGTGCAACCAGAAAGCAATCATGGAACTAACAAACAAACAAACAGAAAACAATCTGAAGTGATTATGCTAGATTGTAAGGGAAACACTTAGAAGGAAGCAAGAGAAATGATATAATTTAATTATATTCCACACAACGATGGTAGGCGGATAGGAGGTAGCAAAAAGTATTCTACTTATGAATTTATGGATTTATACGGATTACCAAAGACACACTAACGATAAGCATAGTAGATACCCAAAGTAGAGAGAGGTCTCAGGCATTTTAAATATCGTTTAACAT